AAAAAATATATTTTCAAAATAGACTTGCCCAGGCCGTGGTATTTTGTGGAAGAGCCGTACTCAAAGGGGCCGAAGAGCCGCAGTTTACCAACCACGCGGTTGGGAGATGCCACTTCTTTTGGCTGCAAATGTTCCTGGGCTGCAGATGTCAGTGGGCGGGGGGAAGCAGAACCCCGAAGAAGCCCAATGTTCCAGGGTGTCCCATTGGCAGATCCCACCTTTTTGTTTTTGTGTTTTTGGCTTGGACTTGCATCCGTGAGCATGAGCAGGCAGCCAGCACTTCCCAGCTGTCCTCAGGGTTCTGCCTACCTGGGCGTCTTTTCAGGCTTGCCTGGCAGGGCAGCCCCTGAGCTTAGCCGAGCGAGTGTGTGGTAGAATAAGGAGAGTGAGATCACGAGGAACTCAGCAGCACCCCAGGTCCCTCCCCTCCTTCTCCTTTCTGTGTCTCTTGGCCCTACCTGACTCTGACCCCAGCGGTTTCTTTGTTCCCCTCAGAGTGGCGGAGGGGGCCTGCCAGAGCCAGGCCAGGAGCTTGCTTCTTGTGGTCTTTTCTAAAGAGACAGTGCGCAGCCTCACACCTGGGGACCTGTCGGGGCAGCTGCGGATAATTGGCAGTGGGGGGCCTTCCCACCAACAGAAACGCAGGCATTGGCCGCAGCTGTGGCCCCAGGCCACAGCGGGAGGCAGTGCCCACGCGGAGCAAGCAAGGTTCAGCTGGGCCAGTCTGCAGACAGTGCCAGGCAGCAGAGGTGGGAGGAGTGGTGTGGGAGGGAGATTGGGGCTTCCTTCCCCATGAATTCCAGGGGCCCAGGAAAATCAGTGTGTGCTCTGAGCCTTTATCCTGAAAATGGGATGCTAGTTTCCACCCTGCTGACCTCCCAGGAGAGTTACAGGGTCAGGTGAGATGCTATACTGAGGAAGTGCTTTTGAAAAGTAAGATCTGTCAACATCAAGAATGGCCTACTTGTACAGCAGCACTCTGGCTGGGCTGGAGAGGGATGGCCCCCGGAGCATGAGCCCGGCTTGTCCTCCCTCTGAGACTTGAACTTAGAAAAGTGTTTTGAAAGCTGTAAGGCCCTTTGGAAGGATCCTTTCATTACAAGTGAGAGTGGAGGCGGCAGAGGGAGCCGGTGTTTGCCAGGCTGACGGGAGCTTTGTTTTATTCGGGCGGCGTGCGAGGCCTGCACTCACGGAGGCTCTGAAATTGCTGGTTGTCAAGTCTGCACGCCGCCTGCAAAGAAGGAACTCAGACGGAAATGACAGAAACCACGAGGCTGGGCGTCTCTTGAAGCGTCCGATCCGAGCAGGAGAAGCGGCACAGCTTTCCCCAGCAGAGCTTTCCCGCTGCGCACAGGCCTTTGGGGAAATCTTCAGAAGCCTTTTCCTTTCCATCAGACTCCCTGAGAGAGGGGTTTCTCAGTCGAGGAAAAGAAGCGTTTCTGTTTGGGTTCAGAGGCACGCCTCTTGCTCTAAACTCGTTCTTTCTGCAAACATGCCAAGTGCCCGTTAAGTACCAGATCTCATTGTGGGCGCTTCATCAGCCTCATCAGCCTAACCTGTTTTTAAAAAGCAATTGCAACAGCTCCTCGAATTTAAAAGGAAGCCCCGTGCCTCATCCGACGGACTCACAGAACCCGGCCTTGGGTACGAGGCCCTCCTTCCCAGTAAGCCACTGAGGCAGGTCCCAGGGTTTGACTTCTGCAGGCTGAATTGTTTCCTCATATTCTCTCCTCTCTACCCCCCAAAGATCATGGAAATGAGTTAGTGCTTTGAAGGTAAACATAGAAAGCTAAGAATGAAGAGTGAAGAGACGTATGGTGCCTGTTTCCTTGAGTAATGAGACTCCCCTCGACTCCCCCTTCCTCTCAGTCCCACAGGGAGAGAGGCAGCCTGGACAGAGACAGACCCCAGCTATTGATTTATTGGGGATTTGTGAACCCCTGATAGTATCCTCCTGGGTTTCCGACCTGCTCTCCGGGGTTACAAGATAAATCTGTGTACGCTGGTGCGGCCGCATCCTGGAAGGTTTGCATTCAACAAACCACGTAGCAGCCTCGCTGTGTTTTCATTTCTGTGTGTGTGTTGTTGTTATTGTTGTTGTTTTTGCTCACAAACACGGTGAAGCAAACCAGAACAAAGAGGAAAAATGTGAACCCCTCACGGCCAAAACCAGCTATGCCAGATTTCAGTCTTCCAACAAGCTGTTTTATAAATAAACAGGCCGTGTTTGCCAAATAAAGAGGAATGTGTTGGAGAAGGCAGCATGGACCGGTCCTGGTTGAGAGAGTGCCCAGCACTGGGGGGAGGGGGGGTGTCCGAGGCAGGAGCTGTGGCCCCAGCCTGTCCCCGAGGAGCTGTGTGACGTGAGCCGAGTCACCCCACCTCTCTGGGCCTCTGGGAAGTGAGGGGGAAGGAAAACAAATTGACCTGAGGTGGGAATACGCTCCCTCCTTCGCCAACAGCCTCACCGGTTTCTCTTCCGTCTGGTTTGGTTTTCAGCTCCCACAGCAGCTCAGGCCAAAGCATCCTTTCTTCTCCCTCTTCTCCAGAGGGTGACCAACCTGTTCCAGCTCCACCACGGAGTCCTGGGTCCCAGGAGACCCCTCAGTGCCGGGACCCTGGCACAACGATTCTCTCCGGACCCATTGGCTGAAGAGATAATGTTACCAATTCCAAGCATTTTAGAGTCTTTGACCTCGCTCTTCACAGTGTGACCCATAAGGGATCCGACCCATCCAGGATCCCCTGGGGAAGCTGAAAGGCAGAGCTCCTACCCAGATCTGGAGCAGAATCTGCATTGGAAATAGTATGCCCCCATTTCCCAGATGAGGGCACTGAGGATCACACAGGTGGTTTGCTGCCTTATTCATTTTGGTCCACACTCATTAAACACCTACGGTGTGCCAGGCAGCACTAAGGGACGTGCCCAGTGTCGCACACAGTAGGAAGTACAGTAGTCCACAACCCCCCAAACCCAGTTCTTTGTTCAAGTTGCCACCTGCTGTGATTCCCCGTGGGCAATGGGGCAGCACCAGCTGCACTGGCCACAGTTTAACATGGAAGCAGGCAGCAGGTTAAACAGGGCAGTTTGCAGAATGGCACTCAAAATCCCTGGTCGTTTATCTTGCACATGGCAGAAACTGTAAATGATTTTATTATTAACACTTGAGAATCCATGCATAGAAGTCGAACTAAGTACGTGAATACGTTGCATTTAGGAGAGCAAGGTGCCCTCAACCTCCAGATACTCCTTCGAATTGTGCTGTACATTCAGGTTGGTTTTTGTTGGGAGGGTGGAGGTCCCGGATTGTGAGAGGGTGCAGGCAGGGCTGAGAGACCTCCCCTCCGTGCATGAATTTCATGCATCGGGCCTCTAGGGAAGGAATGTATGTCTGAGGGCCAGCCCGCTTCCTACTCCGATTGTCATCAGCGTCCTGGGCGAGGATAAACCACGGAGTGTCAGGAAGACCTTGTCATCAGCCTCCTGGGCGAGGATAAACCATGGAGTGTCAGGAAGTGCTTGGATGTGTCTGGCTGCTTATGGACTCATGACCCCCCACCTCAGGAGGCTGGGTTTTCCTTTTGCAGGCCCCCAATGACAGTGCGTGAACGGGCTTGACTAAGTGGAGACTGTGGTTTACCATTTATTTACTGCCAATATTTTTTACTTTGGATGAGGGTGAGCTATAGATTTTCATTTTATTTGTGTGTGTGTGCGTGTTTTAAACATATTTTTTCTATTGAGTTTTAGAGAGAGGGGGAGAGGGAGAGAGAGAGAAATATCAATGGGAGAGAGAAACATTGATCGATTGCCTCCCGCACACTCCCCAGCCAGGGATTGGACCTGCCGCCTGGGCACGGATTGAACTGGCGAGCTTCTGAGGCACAGGATGGCACTCCCCCGATGGAGCCCTGGGGGCCGGGGCGATAGGTTTTTGTTTCAAATTCTCTTCAGAAATAGCCTCAACGCATCTCCGAAACAGAATTCCCTTCAAACCAGCTTACATCAGGGAGCTCAAACTCTCTGACCCCCTAGACTTTCAGCAGAGCTGAGGCGGTGGAGGCAACTCTCCAGGTCACGATTTTCTGTAGAAAAGTCCCTCCTCCCCCTGTGAGTGTCCTGTGTCCTGTGTCCCAACCGTTCCGGTGGCTTTGCTGCTCAACAGACTCCAGCCGAAGTTCTCTGCTGGATATGTCTCCATCCGACCGGCCGCTTCTCTTTCGTGGCTACCAAATCCCGCGTGGAGGAGGAGGAACAGGAACCAGGAAAGCTCTGCACCCACAGAGGAGAAGGCCAGGGAACACAATGGACACCGCCCGTGCCGCTGGAATCAAGAGCCCTCCCGGGGCCTGGGCCACAGCTGGCGTAGACGGGCTGCACGCACATCCCACACAGCAGTACGGTTCCCAGCAGAAAGGGCGCGCTGAGGGAGCAAAGCCTAAAGATGCAATTCCCCCAGGAGTCCCCTTCTCCCCTCTCCTCTGCTCTCTCCTCCCTCCGGGGGCTTGGCCAAGGGCCGAGAGCTGCTGAACCCGTGTTCACGGTGGAGAGACCCCTGGGCCACAGAAGCAGGGCGGAACGCGCCAGGTCCATAGCCGCGAGGACCAGCTCTCGAGCCTATGGACCCTGGAAGGCGGCGGTCCGGGTCAAGAGCTCAGTTCTCCTGTGTCCTATGCAGGGGCGTCAGGGGCCAGGAGCAGGCACCTGGTCACCTCCAGGTGGGAGGGGATCTCGGGGGCAGCTGAAGAGCTGACCATTGACAGCCCCAGAAAGGGGGATCCCTGGCATCAAAAGAGGATGAAAGTGGGTTATTGTTCCTTAAAAACTCAGAGGTGGTTGCTTTCCTGTGCCTGCTTCCGTGTGGGTGTGTGATGGCCAGACGGTAGCTCTGGCTCCACAAGCCACCGCTGTCCCCTCGTCCCGGCCGGGGTGTGTCCAGAGGAGGCCCCAGAAGCCATTTCTCCGCTGCCTTCCTGCCCTTGCCAGGAGGGGCCGGGCCTCAGCACTGCTCCGCCTCCACGAAGCCTTCCTTCTCGAGGCCCGAGGGCTCCACCTCCGTGTAGGTGGAGTGGTTGGGGTGGTTGCGGAACCTCATGGCGGGCCAGTGGTGCGGTCTCCGCTGCGGGGAACAGACCGGAGTCAGCGGGGAGGAGCGCACACACTGGGGACCACCCCCAGGGACAGCGGGGAGCACCGGGACTCTCTTTACAATGACACGGGGGGGGGGACGGGGGGGAGGCGCGGAGAGGAATGGGGTCCTACTGAGAGCTGGGTGAAGGTCAGGGCCCTCCCTCCGCAGCTGGGAAGGCTGCCGGGGTGTGAGGGCTGCGGGACTCAGGGTGGAAGCTTTAGCCACGCATGGAGTGGAGCCCCGAGACCGTGGACAGTGAGAAAGCAGGGGAGAGAGGAGGTGACCTGGGAGGCGCTGGCGACACTGAGAGAACAGGTCCTCCAACACAGTCAGCTGCGGAGCTTCTCACAGGCAGAACCCTCACAGGCAGATTCTCGGGCCTGTCTCAGACCCGTCCCGGCATCACTTCTGTGGCTGGAGATACCAGGCCGGCCGAGGCTTACGGGTGACTGGTTAGGATGCACAGGAAAAGGAGGGCATCTAACAAAAAGAGGGGCGTCTAACAAAAAGGGGGGGGGCGTCTAACCACCTGGGCCTCTGTGTGAGGAGGTAGTGGATCTTTGCACCCTGAAAAGGAGAGGGCGGTTACAGAGGTGCCACCGCTGTGCCAGGAGGAGAGCCAGCGGGAAGCCACACGTGGGGCGGGACAGCAGCTGCTGAGCTCTGAAGCTCAGGAGGAAGAGGGCTGGGTCTCCCTCCCAGGCTGCACTGTGGACTGGCTCGTCTGAACTCTGAGACACACAAAGCGGTAGCCTCCTCCTCGAAAGCTCACTGTGATCACGGCTGGTCGAGTCTGATCTAAGAAGCCCGCTCTCCCTCTTTGGCATTCATCTCTAAACTCCCAGAGTCCCCGGGAGACCTGCAGCCGGGGGAGCACTGGGCAGCGGCAGCGCGTCCCGGGCGAATCCCCACCGGCCTCCAGCGAGGCAAGCAGCCCTGCCTACATGCACTCCAGTTGTTTCCTCTATCCTAAGCCCTTCTTGTTTCACTGTCCCCAGCTTCAGTAAACCTACTCTCAAAAAATGATAATAATTAAAAAACAAAAAAACAAACAGAACCCTCACAGCAAAGAGGCAGAGGCCTTGGCTCCATTGTGGCTTTGGATAAAGGGGCCTGGAGTTTGGCCACAGGGGACCACAGATCACTAGGGACGGACTGCACAGCGCTCCATGGCCATGTGGGCGCTTCTGGCCTCACTTCTCTTCCCCGGGGCCTCATGTCACCCGCGGGCGAGCAGAAGCAGACGGGACCGGAGGCCTAGAGGTGTTCCCTGGGAGCTGGAAGGGAACTAGCCAGGGTGAGACGGGCCTGGACGGAGTCGGTGTAGGCTCCTCAGGTGGGAGCAGGAGCCTGGCAGGTGGCAGAGGAGGGATGAGCTGGGGAGGGGCAGGTACTGACTGGCCAGGGGAACCCAGAGGCAGAAGCAGAGCGGGGGGGGGGGGGGGGAGCTGACCTCGATGAAGAAGAGTGCAGCATTGGACGTGGGGTGGCCGCTGATGTACACCCCCGCCAGGACCATGGCCGCCACCACGAGGACCGCCAGCACGATGCCCACGATGGTGCCCAGGTGCACGGGGGGGCCCTTGGCCTTGGGGGCCAGGTTGTTCTGGAGGCCTGCGGAGAGACCGTGAGGGCAGCGCTGCCGCAGGAGGCAGGGGAGGGGGGCCCTGGTGTCCTGGGTGCCCGCAGAGCCCTGGAGACGGAAGCTGGCACCACCTTCGGTCTACCCATCGAACACACACCCAGAGGCGGGGCTGGGGCGGGCGGAACCCCGAGCGGGGCTTTCACATCCTTGGCATGGTTCCCGTGGTTTTTCAAAATAGCTTCAAGTTGCCCAAAAGCCGATGGAATAAGGACCAGCAAGAGAAGTTCTCGCTGGTCCCAAGGCCACGTGAGTGCTGTTAGGGAATTCACACCGGATATGTGACAGGTGGATCTAAGAAGTGGGAGCTGGAATCTGGCTGCCTGGACTCAAACCCCGACTCTGCCCCTTACCAGCTGTGTGGCCTGGGGCACATCACTTAACCTCTCTGTGTCTCAGTGATCGTTTATGCAGAACAAGTGTTATAATCATGACCGGCTGGCGTTATTGTGACAAAATAATGCTTGTCAGGTACCGAGGACCCTGGCTGGTATCTCAGAGGACCCCAATAAGCACTCGCCAGGTGTGACGGTGGCAAAATGGCCACATTTTTACCTGACCCCAGACTGTGACCTCCTGAAGGGCAGAGACAGTGTCTTATTCCTCTCCATGTACTCAGCGCTCAGGGGAAAAAGGCCAACCCCTTGGAGGAGCGCAATGAAAGACACGAGCGAGTCTGAAGACCAATAAACCAGCAGCCACTCTGAGAGCCTCCCAAGCGTTTGAATATATTCCACGGAGGAGACCGAGTATTTCCATAGACGCAGAGCTGGGAATTCACCCAGCCCTGCCCTTCCTGTGTGGCTGAGGTCATGGAAACACAGAGAGGGGAAGGGATTTGTCCAAGGACAGAGCCGGTGCCAGCTACCTTCCTGGTACCACCTGGTACCACCTCTCCCGCCGACCCTGAAGGGATGTGGAGATCACGAAATGGACACAGATGATGAGCATGCCAACGGCAGGAATATCTCGTCTCAGTTACACGGCTAGTGGGTGGGATGGGGTTTTTAAAAGGCCGTTCCATGCATCCCACAGCATGCCCTCCCCACGCCCTCTTCTCTGCGGGCAGAGGGAACCGGGGAGAGAAATTCCCCTGGGCACTCGGCAGCATCTGTCTGCCAACGGTGGGGGAGCTGACGGGAGACACCCCCCACCCCCGCCTGAAGCTGGCCTTCCTGGATCCGGCCAGCAGCCTGCAGTGATCCTGGGGATCTGATGGTCACAGGGTGTAGAGAGGGGACTGTGGCTCAGCTGCGCCCCATCCACCCTGCGCCCACACCCCCCAACACACACGCGCACTCACACCTGCAGCCCACAGAACAGCTCCCCCTGCTGGGAGCCGCCATCAAACGGCGCAGCATTCATCGCCTCTTCTCTCCTGCGGACCGGCCTCCCAGGCCCTGCCGTTGGGGGCACTCCCACCTCCCCTTTGCAGAGTTGGCAGCAAAGGCCTGAGCCGGTCCTGGGCAAAAGCAGGAAAGGTGGGGCCGCCTCACCTCATGGCCTCCCAGGTAATCCTGGGGGAGGGGGCCCCACCTTCCGGCATCCTATAAACATGGTGGACAACGTTGAGGTGCTCTCTGCCAGCCCAGGTCGGGGTCCAAGGGAAGCCGTTGTGAGAGAAGATGCGCTTCGCTCACAGGGAGGCCACAGGATGCACACCACCACCTGCCCTGGTGCAGCCCCGGCTCCTCCTCTCTCTTGTTTGAGGGGGCGTGGATATTCGAGCAGAGAACCACAGGAGGTTCCCAAGATGGGGAAGGCTAATGGAGATCCATGCTCCTTCAACCTAGGGGGCTGGGCCCAGGAGCCCCTGCCCCGCCCCCAGCAGGTCTAGGAAGCAGGCTGCTGCTGTTGCCCCCCTCTGCCCCCCCACTGAGAGTGTCAGCGGAGACCAGGCCCGGCTGCAGCCGCCCCTGCGGTGGGTCCCAGGGGCTGGGCTCTGGAGAAGAGGGCAGGCAGCCCTGTACTCACCATCGCCTCCCGCGTGGGGACTCAGCTTGGTGTCATCTTCCCAAAGAAAGGAGAGAGGGCGCAAGGTTAGTGGAATCATTGCCACGGCCTTTGTCACTCAAGGCACTTCAGGGGTGGTCAGTCCAACTCTCCATTTCAGAGGCAAGGAAACGGAAGCACAGAGAGGGGAGGTGACTTGCCCAAAGTCACACAGCAGTGCAATGGTAGGAGGCCGTGAACAAGCCGGCTTTTCCTAGTCTCGTGTTCATTCATTCATTCATTCCTTCAGTGACTGAGAGTAGGCACTGAGGACAGACTTGGTCTCCGCCCTCAGGGAGTTAGCAGGTTGGATGGAGGGAGGGACGATTAAGATCCAGCCTAACGAAGCTCTGACTGGGGGCCTCATGAGACCAAGGGAGATAGGAGGAGGCTGAGGAAAGGGCTCTCGACGGAGCGAAGAGCATGGGCAAAGGCCCAGCGTCAGCAAGAACTCGGCCAGCTGAGAAATAAAAAGCGGTCCAGTGCAGCCGGAGGGAGGGTGGTGAGGATGGGGCAGGGGTGTGGAGAGGGAGGCTGGGGAGAGGCATGGCTGCTTGGCACCACGTTGAGGACCTTTCACGTTCTCCTGAGGGGCAGTGGGAAGCTGAGGAAAGGTTTGAGGAGGGGGTCAATGTGTCCCAGGATCAGATTTGCCACCCAGCGGGCGTGCCTCAGTGACTGAGCATCGTCCTATGAGCCAGAAGGTCACAGTTTGATTCCCAGTTGGGGCACATGCCTGGGTTGTGGGCTCGATCCCCAGTGCGGGACTTGCAGGAGGCAAGATATTGTACAAAATAACGGGCCTGGGCTGGACAATCATCTCCCCTCAGCCCTGCCGTGGGCCAGCACCGCGTCAGAGCCCGGGGTGGAGTCCCCTCATTCTAAACTGGGTCCTGCTTCTCACCAGCAAGTGACCCCACGGGGGTCTCTGAGCCTCAGGCCCCTCGTCTGTGGAAGGACAGGGCAGCTCTGATTCCCCGAGACCATCCCTGTCAGAGGGTGATACTCCAGCGCAGTGCCCCTTCCCCAGGGCGTCTCTCCCTCCTCGCCCGACGTTACCTTCCGTGGTGAGGCTGTCCGGGGAGAGGGGGGAGGAGGTGGTGCTGTGGTCGCCATCCCAAGGGCTGAAGGAGCTGCCGGGGGAAGAGGAGCCGTGGTCCTCGTCCTGGAAGTCCTCACACGTCCTGCCCTCTGCCTGGAAGAGAGACCGGGCCGCCTGGACAGAGGCCTCGCTGGCAGGCGGGCCACACAAATGAGGACGGTGGGGGCGCCTTCATCTCTTGGTGGTCGGAAAATGTAAGGTCCCAGGCATGGTCCACGCATGGCAATCTAGCCCTGCATGCCTGTAAGTTTTCTCCACTTTCTCCTGAAAGCAGCTTATCTTTTATTTATTTATTTATTTATTTATTTATTTATTTTTAATATATTTTTATTTTTTTTTAAATATATTTTATTGATTTTGTACAGAGAGGAAGGGAGAGAGATAGAGAGTTAGAAACATCGATGAGAGAGAGTCATCGATCAGCTGCCTCTTGCACACCCCCTACTGGGGATATGCCCGCAACCAAGGTACATGCCCTTGACCGGAATCGAACCCGGGACCTTTCAGTCCCCAAGCCGACGCTCTATCCATTGAGCTAAACCGGTCCCGGCATATTTTTAATATATTTTTATTGATTTTTTACAGAGAGGAAGAGAGAGGGATAGAGAGTTAGAAATATCAATGAGAGAGAATCATTGATCAGCTGCCTCCTGCACACCCCCCACTGGGGATGTGCCCACAACCAAGGTACATGCCCTTGACCGGAATCGAACCCGGGACCTTTCTGTCCTCAGGCCAACGCTCTATCCACTGAGCCAAACCGGTTTCGGCTTATCTTTTTTTTTAAAAAAACAAACACATCTTTTCATTGATTTCAGAGAGGAAGAAAGAGGGAGAGAGAGCTAGAAACATCAATGATGAGAGAGAATCATTGATCAGCTGCCTCCTGCACGCCCCTACTGGGGATCGAGCCCACAACTCAGGCATGTACCCTGACCGGGAATGAAACTGTGACTTCCTGGTTCATGGGTCAACGTTCAGCCACTGAACCACACTGGCCAGACCTGAAAGCAATGAGCGTGTCTACTGTTTTGAATCCTTCCTTCAGGAAGGAGCCGAGATGCCAACTTTAAATAAACAGAACAAATCTGTGCATTCGCCAACGGCCAACGGTAGAAGTAGGCAGCTGGACAAGATTCTTTTAAGGCCAGAAAAAGACTGCTCACCCAGCCTTCCTAATATTGACATTGGGGCCTGGGGGTGCACGTTTTAAATGCTGGGCCCAACACCTTTGCCCTCTCATAACTGTGAGATGCAGGCCAAGTCACTAGAGCCTCTGAGCCTCAGTTTCCCATTCTGGTCAGTGGGGCAGTAGTGAGGAGTAAACCAGAGCAAACGTGGGGCAGCATGCGGGTGTGTGCTTGCACTGCAAGAAGAGATGGAGAGGGGGAGGGAAGAGAAAGGACACATGGTGACCCACGTGTTAGTATAAGGGGTGACAACAGGACGCTCTCCACCCAGGACCAAAGTGCGGAGCATTCTGGGAAATTCTACTCGTGAGAAAGAACAGGTATGGGATGCTAGCCCTCCTCACTCCCAGAATGACTGCCGCCCCCAAAGGCTGAAGGCTGGAGCCGCAGTTGCTTTACAAATGCCACCAGGGGCACAGCCTCCCAGAGGATCCGAGTCCCAGGCGGAGGGCACGATTTCACCGAGAACCAGACCCCGTGAGCAGAGCAGCCAGGCGAGGGCCTGCTGACCGCCCTGCGGCTCCCCGCAGCCTGGCCCAGGGAAGCCTCTCACCTCCTGGGCGCAGCCGTAGGCCAGCCACTCCTGGCGGTAGCGGTCAAAGCCACTGGAGCACCTGCAGGGGAACAAAAGGGCAGAGGTGGGGGTGGGGGTGGGGGAGTGGATAGAGAAGCCCTCCCCCCCCATTCAGCAACAGCTGTCCCAGAGCTCGGGCGGTCCAGCTCCCTGAGACCACTGGGCAGCGGCCCTCAGCACCAGGCGGCTGTGGGATCCGGAGTCAGACCCTCCCCGCCCCTCCATTCCTCTCCCAGGAGGAGGGGAAGGCATTTGGGGACCCTCGCTTTCCTTCTGACCCAGCTCCCGAGGACCAAGGCCTCCCCTGCCCGGATGAGTGTGTAGGGGGCTGGACAGACCCCATGACCTCCAATGACCTTTCAGGTCCCCTTGACTTGGGGGCCGCCAGGAAATGGCTAAAAATCCAGGGAATTCACACGCGTGTTCTCCTCTGGGGAAGTCTTGCTCATTCCTCGGGACCCCTTCTTTGGCATGGAAGGGCCTGCACTTGGTGAAGCTGGGCATCAGCAGGTGTAGCCAACACCCCCCTGTGTGATGTTAAAGGGCAGGCAGGAGGGTCCTGCCACGGGCTGGCAGAGATGAAAAGCTGGCGCCCAGGGCTCCCAGAGAACACTGCGCAGCTCCGCTGGGCTGCAGGGCGCCGAGCACTTGGCCGGGGGAAGGGCGGGGGCGGAGGCGGAGGATAAACCGGAGAATGTTCCTCACGGCCTCGTGCTCAAGTTTCCGATCCCCGCTCCTGGGTGCCAGGGGCATCCATCAAGCCTGCTCCGGCGCAGGGACATCTGCCCGGGAAAACAACATCACGCGCCCCCGGGGCGAAGGCAGGACTCCGGCCGGTTCGCTCTCTGCACCAGCAGCCGCCCGCGCACGCATCTGCCCGGGAACCGAGAGGCCGAGGGCCGGCACCGGGCACCAGAGGCAGCGCTCCTTCCGAAGTTGACTCTGAGCTGCCCCACCTGCTGCCCTGAGCCGCCCACACGCCTCTCCCTCGGGCCTCTGTGCCCTCGCTGTGGGGGACGGAGGACTAGGGGCACCTTTGCAGGGTGGGGACTAACATTTCTTTTAAGCCATAATGATTCCTTCAAGAACTGAGCCTGTATCATTGGTCTAAGACAGTGGTCGGCAAACACACTAGTCCACAGACCCAAATATCAACAGTACGACGATTGACATTTCTTTGGAGAGCCACATTTTTTAAACTTAAACTTCTTCTAATGCCACTTCTTCAAAATAGACTCAGCCAGGCTGTGGTATTTTGTGGAAGAGCCACACTCAAGGGGCCAAAGAGCCGCATGTGGCTCGAGAGCCACGCTTTGCCGACCACGGGTCTAAGAGCATCACATGCTCAGCCCTGAGCCAACCAACTCAGATGCCAAGGGCATCAGCACTGGCCGTTCATTGAGAGCCTTCTGAATGCCAGGTGCCGCCTCAGCCACATGCTGCTCCTGCACCATCTCCTGGGACCCCCGCAATGGCACGGAAGGCTCATTTCCTGAGCCAAATCCTGGAGTTAAGGTCGCCCTTAGACTCCACAGTGGGCCACTGGAAAACGCCAAGGTCAGTGAAATTGTCTAAATGAGCTCCAGGCCCCGGGCAGGGAGGGAAGGCCTGGGAGCCTTCGGAGGGCCGAGCGGGTGGAGGGGAGAGGCTGAGCCAAGATCCACGTGGTGATTGAAAGCAGCTGTTGGTGGGAGAGGCCACGGTGGCCGGCCCCAGTGCCCAGCCCTGCCCTCTGACCTTCGGGGGGCTGGAGAGAGCTCTTCGTTGGAGCCGAGGCTCCAGAGAGCTGGCAGGGGCTGAGCCCAGGCCCGCGGGCACCTGAGGACAGAGGTTCCAGAACCACATCAGCCTTGAGCTCTCTGATGAAGCGCCTCGTCCCATAGCTGATAGAACCACTGCAAAGGCAGCGTCCACCCCGAGGCCTGCCCTCCCCGAGCCTGACCGACCCCCATGAGACTGGCATGGTCCCTGGCATCAGCGGGAAGACCGGGGATCGGGCGTACGCTCCGTGGGGCTGCGGTGAGAGGTTTCCCTCCATCTGACCCACTTTGCAGTTCACATGGCTCAGCGGTCGCTGGGTGCTGAGTCACACGGCGGCAGCCAGCCCCGGGGTTCCAGGCTCCTCCGAGCGCCTCTGGCCGTCGCCCCAGAACCCACCTGGCCGTTCTCTCGGAAGCTCCGTGCCTTTCACGCGAAGGGCCCCGAACACTTGGCCAAACGCTGCTCGGTATTTGAGGAGTTAAAACCACGGCACATTCCTCACTCATGTTTCTCGGAGCCCCAGCCCCCCTCCCAGAGAAAACAAATTGGGATCAAAGCGGAGGGAGGACTCCTGGGAGGCTGAGGGGGGAGGGGGATGGGAGGGGCGCTCTCTCCTCCCCTGGACCTGTGTCCTGTGAGCTCTGATGGCTTCTATGTCCACGCCAGGACATGGAGAGGAGCCCAGGAGACGCCGACAGACGCGTCACAGCTGCAGGGGACTCGGGGACTCTGGGATTTACAATTTTCAAGATTGCCTTAGAGGCTCTCGGGGTCCATCGGGCACCCACTCTCAGGAGAGGCCTGGCGCCCCTCTGCCATTGACTCATCTTGGATGGGAGAACAGGGCTCGGCTTCTGAGTCGCGTCTGTGAGGAGAGGGTTTCTGGACGAGGCGTGGAGGCGAGCTGAGCGCTTAGCCTCTGTGGGGCTTAAGAGCTTTATCCCTGAACCCACCTCTCGTCCCAAAGCCGAGCAAACACAGCTCTGTGTGCCCGCGCCCTACAGACGCCTGGCATTTCCATCCCCCAGGTTTTCAGGAAACCCCCTGCAGCCTGAGAAAGACCTCCTGGGGTCCCGGAGCTCTCACCCCAACAACAGTGGGTTTGGGGGTTACCCCGTCTCTGAGCCACAGGTCGCACGCGTGTGTGCACGGGAGGCGCCCGGAGATGCTGATGCAGGGCCTGGGGCGTGTCCCAGGGACCCCTGGGCCTCAGCCCTCGGATTCTGGCGCTGGGGGCTGCGGGCCTCTCTGAGGAGCCCTGCCGAGGACCAGCCAGCCCTTTCCAGGCGTGAGGAGGGGGCTGCAGTTGCTGGGGTTTCCCGGAGCCCAATGTCATCAGAGGGACCCTGCCACACAGGCGCCTCAGCTGGCCACCAGCTGCAGGGAGAAGCTCGTTTCTGGGACCTCCATGTCCTCCATGGACTGGCCAGCGATCCCGTCACCTTGGCCATGAGGCCTGAGGCAAGGAGCCGGGCCGTGCTACCCTCTGCCCCTCCTCCGCAGACTGCCTGCGGGCACCAGAGGGTCCGTCGGGGCACACACCTCTGGAGGACGTGGCACCAGCTGCAGTTGAAGGTCAGGTCCGAGGACATGCAGGCGTCGCAGCTCCGGTGCTGCAGGCAGGCTGCAAGACAGAAGCAGCGGCCCCTCAGCACCAGCCCCCCACAGGCCCCCCCCAAAGTGCAACTTTCCTGAGTGCCGAGTCCTTACTGAACTGCGCGTGTCCTGGCCATTCCCGGTGACTCTGCCCCTAATGGCCCTGGTGAAACGGAAAACAAACCCTGGTGCCTCGTGGGTGCTAGGACCCACTGACCTTGATTCTCATCTGCATTTCGGAAGTCCTGCGTGCTGTCAGTGCTCGCCACCTCCACGGAGGGTGGGGAGCGGCTCACACGCACAAACAGCATCCCAGAAACTCATTCCCAGGACGGCTCGTTTCTTCCGCCCGCCCGCCGGGCAGGCAGCCCTGTCCTTGGATGTCCTTGCTCATCATGAAGTGTTACTCAAGCCCTAGGTCTGAGATTTGCTCTCAGCGGCTCTTGAGAAACCACCCGTTCTCAGGCCCCGGCCTCTCTGGCCCAGAGGGAGGGCTGATGCGGAGGACCGAGGCCTGCACCGTGTTCTCGCCCTGTGACCCCATGGTGTCTGGGTCCTTCCTCGTTTCCAGGGGAGGACGTGAGACCTAGCATCCGAGAGCCTCTCCTCCTCTTCGTCCTCCACCCTTTGCTCCCAGGATCTCCGGGGAAGAGGAGAAGGTGGGGGTGGGGGGGAAACAGGCAAGGAATGCCCCTGAGGGCAGGGACAAGGCCTTGGCTTCCGAAGCTGGGAGGTACTGAGAGACAGAAGAGAAGTAAAACCCTCTTTAAAAATCCAAGGACAGGAGTGCTGTCCTCTCCCTCAGCCTCCCAGCTGCTCTGACCAGCATCGCACCCTGACTCTTCCAGTAAACTGCAGCCACGGGGGCCTTGGCCATGACCTGCTTTCACCTGTAGGTGCATAGGGTGCAGAGAGGGGAAAGGGCCAGGGCCCGTGGTTTTTGGAGAGCTGCTGGTGAACTCCTATGCCTCTGCCTGTGGACCCTTCGGAGGAAAACACACCGATAATACAATTGACCCCTAATGCATGTCCACCCTTCTCTCCCTGGCGGATCATTCCGTTCCTGAACTGTTTTTCCTGAGGTCCCATCTACATTCTGAAAGGCGCCTCTCTCCTGGGTTTCAATGATGTGTGAACAACAGTAGCTATCGTCTGTCAAGCCCAGACCACACCCCAGGCCGGGGAAGTGCCAGGTAGTGCCAGGGCTGCCACCTGTGTCCTCAACTCTCCCTACTGTGGTTCAGACCCTGCCCCTGCCCAATGCTCTGGGAGGGAGGTGGTGGCCGGCCCAGGTGACAAGTGACTAATGGAGGCCCCGAGTTGCTCGGTGGCCATCCCCACCCAGGGGTGGGTGGGGGGCCTGGGAGTGGCACTCCGTCTGTTAGACTCCAAAGATCTTTCTCGGCCACAGCTGTCCTAGACCACCTTCCCCTGTCAGTAGGAGCCGTCCCTGCTTACTGGGCAGTGGGGTGAACTCCACGGCCGACGTGCTGGTGACCTTGCTGGGGTCCAGCTCCACACGGTGGTATTCAAAGATGGCCCTTCGCCGGGATTCTGAAACAGAGGCAGAGCCTGTCAGCAGGAACAGGACACGGGCAGAGGGCTCTGAGGCTGTAGGGAGTGGAACTGAGGACAAGAAGTAAACCCTTCAAGCTGGGATAACGATCCTGTGCTGTGGGGAGATGGCGGACAGGAGTTGACCTTGAGAGAGCTCTGTGTTATCAGCCGGTTTAACGATTCAGTGCAGAGGCCTGGCTGCGTCTGGGGTCAGGACACAGGACATGCCACGTTCCTGCCCTGGTCCCCGTCTTACCATTTGCAGGCTCTCCTGTGCTCTGTGGGCCACTTCAGTGTCCCCACGGGACCCTTTCCCCCACATAACCTAGTCTGAGTTGGGTTTTTGTCACTAGGAGCCCGGAGTAGGCGAGGAGATAATTTTCTCAGTCAGCTGAAGGGGGTTGGAGGAAAGTTCCCCAAAGGGGCAGCAGAACTCAGTTGGGGCATCCATGAAAGAGAGGGTGTCCTGTGCAACTGCTGGGTGCCCCCATTTCCCACCTTTATGAAGAATCTGGGAGAGGGGAGGCATCTGCTGCTTAAAAAAATACCTCATTGTGGGGTGGTGAAGACACAATACAATATAGAGGAGGTGTTATAGAATTGTATACCTGAAACCTACATAATTTTACCAAGAAATGTCATCCAAAGGAATTAAATTAAAAAATATTTCTATATAAAAGCATATTATGCTAATTGTCCCTCCAACCATTTAACTGTTCAACCAGTCACTATGACACACACTGACCACCAGGGGGCAGAGCTCCAACCAGCAGGTTAGCTTGCTGCTGGGGTCTGGCTGATCGGGACTGGGCAAGATGGGCCAGACACGCCCTGGAGTCCTCCCACAGCCTTTCCCCAGCCCTGACCATGCACGCTTTGGGTTCCTCAGCTTGGCCTGCACCTTCACACAATCCGGGATCCCTTGGGGGATGTTGAGGAGCCAGTTTGGGCCCGATCCCTGCAAGCCAGGCTGAGGGATCCCACCAGTGCACAAATACGTGCACTGGGCCTCTAGTTATATATGAAGAATATCTCAGCTATGTTTCTTTCCCTATTTATGCCCTAATCTTGGAATTGCTCCTTCCTGTTTAACCCAGCATTGAACCCCAGGGGGGTCTGGTGCGAAAGCAAACTCTTCCCCCCTCACCCCACTGCCCCACTGCGGCGGACACCTCAGCCCTGAAACACACGAGACCGCAGAACATCCTCGAAACACATTCCATGCAAACTGCTCTGGCTTCGGTGCCAGCAACGCTGCCCTGGAGCTAAACAGGAATCTGCGCCGCCCCCCCCCCCCAGAGGCCTGTGTTACCCGCTCGCATGCCATCAGGAGGGTCTGCTACCCACGGGTCAGGGTCTGCTATGGGCCATGTGGGAAGGGGGAAGCATGTGTGGGGACCGACAAGAATGTGGAGGAAGAGAAGTTCTGCGTCAGGACCACACAGCGAGGGGAGGGTTCGGCTCTGCCCTCACCATCTGTGTGACCTTGGACAAGGGACTGAGCTCAGTGAGCCTCATCCACAAACGGAACTAGTTATTCTATCCTCAGGGGGTTGTCCTGGGAATTCAAGTCGGCCACTCCGGCCGAGGAGCCAATCACAGCATGCGTGCTCCTCTCCTCTCACCGCCCGCTCCTTTGGTTTGCTTTCCTCGTGGCTGAGACTCCGGGGCATTTCAGCCTCTCCCAGCCCCTCACGCTCCGGCCAAAGTACGTGAGGGGAAGGACGGCACCTTTCTCTCCCACCCCCACCCCAGCGTGTTTCTTGTCAGTGATTCTCAAGAGGATCCCTCCGCTCCTCGGCAGCTCCCGGGATACTGTGGATGGAGCGACCCCCTGAGAGGCAACCAACCCCCGGGGTATCAGTGACCCTCCCCTGAGCTCCACGGCGCCCTGTGCAGTGCCCAGTGCCATCTGTTACTCTGCCCATCAACGTCCACTTTGCTGGCCACCTGCCCCTCCAGGCCGCAAGCTCCCACAGGCAGAGCCTGCGGGTTATTTGTCCCTGTCTCCCAACCCCAAGCCCCAGGCCCTGCACATAACAGGACATCAAAGCATGACGGTAGCCCTAGCTGGTTTGGCTCAGTGGATAGAGCGTCAGCCTGCAAACTGAAGGGTCCTGGGTTCAATTCCTGTCAAGGGCACATGCCCAAGTTGCAGGCTCAGTCCCCAGGAGGGGGTGTGCAGGAGGCAGCCAATCGATGATTCTCTCATCATTGATGTTTCTCTCTCTCCCTCCCTCTCCCTTCCTCTCTGAAATCAATAAGAATGTATACACCTTTTTAAATGACTGTGAAAGAATGCATGAATGGGTTACAGATAGAAACCTCAGCAGCACATTATAACTTCAGCCCAGAGGAAGCCCGCCTTCCCCCCAGCCCACCACAGATCATGGCCGGTCTCCAAAGAGCCACCCCCCTGGGCCAGCGAAGGCCAGACAAGTGAGCGCTCCGAGTAGACGAGTTGGCTTGGGGGGATGCAGGGACGGCCACCCCCGGTGAGAAGGAACGGGAAACGGAGGGACAAAGGGGTCAGGGTTGGGGCACAAAAGGGTCATAGATTTGCCACGGGAGCTGATTTCAGAGACAAAAAGCAGCATTCAGGGAGAGCTGGGTCCCGGCAGAATCTGGGGGTGGGTCTCCCCACCAGCTGGCTCGAAGTAGAGTTGAGGTTGTGCCTCAAGTGAGGGGCAGCCAGCGGTGGTCAGTGTCCTCCAAAAGCCACCACGGCCCTCCCAGCAAGGGGAGGGAGGGCCAGCGTGGCAGGAAGGAGGAGGCGGGTAGGTGTGCGGAAACACACCTCCGATTTAAAACACTCGCTCATTCCAACTGCCAACTTACAAGGCTTCGGTAACACTTTTCTTTCTCTGTAAACAGAACCCTCACCGTCCCCGCCGGACTTATTTGCTCCTGGATTGGTTTGCCAACATCTGGGGCTCACCCGAGGACAATGACGTCCGTCTGAACGGCCAGCAGATCCCGTCCGGAACCCGCACGGCGGCCACCCCAGAACCACATAGTTGGCAGCTTGAGACGTTCTGTTTTATCTCCGCTCCCACCCATCAAAGACTCAGAAACCCTGAGGTCCAGGCACGGAAAGTCCTGCTCCCGATTAAGACACGCCCACGGTACAGGAGAGGGGTTTCCGTGCTCCATGTGTTTCCACGCGGACGCCATGGAAACGGCATCGACCGGAAAAATCAGACGGATGGGCCCGCTACAGACGTCCCTCCACGATGGTGGTTATGATATAAAAAAATGCCACGTGGTGGTTTGGGGGAAAAGGTTCACCCGCTCATTCATGTATTTGCTCATTTGGTTATTTCTTCAATAATTATGAATCCCACCGAAACCGGTTTGGCTCAGTGGATAGAGCGTCAGCCTGGGGACTGAAAGGTCCCAGGTTCGATTCCGGTCAAGGACATATGTCTTGGTTGCAGGCACATCCCCAATAGGGGGAGTGCAAGAGGCAGCTGATGGATGATTCTCTCTCACCCTTGTTTCTAGCTCTCTATCCCTCTCTCTTCCTCTCTGTAAAAAAATCAATAAAACATATATTTTTTAAAAAATAATTATGAATCCAGCAACAGAGATAAACTGGACGAGGGGCCTGCCCCCCAGGAGGGTCCCTCCTCGGCACGAAAGCCAAGTAGGCAAGAGGCAGACTGAGGAGGGGAAGCAAGAAATGGCTCAGCGAGCAGCGCAGGGGGGAAAACAGAAGCGAAAAGAGGGGAGGGAGAAAGGGCCCGCAGGCCAATAAAAAGCCCCAATGAAGAGTTCTGTGAAGGACCCTTTATCAGGAGAGGCCGGAGGCAAAACAGGCCCCATCCCGGGATGACAGGTCCCCGCCCACCACGCCCTCGCTGGGCTGGTCCTCCGCCTCCTCTGCAGCCAGTTCCGGAGGGCGCCCCCCCCCCAGCCCCCGCCGCGGCCCGCACAGGCCTCTGACACATTTCTGGACTCGCATCCGCCTGTGGAAGGAAAGGAAAGTTCTGGTAAAGGAGAAGGCCCACATGGGAAGGGCCATCCGAGGCCATTCCGGGGCCAGCCAAGGGGCAGCCTGCAATTTGGAGCCTCTAATAATGAAGTCTCCCTCCACGGATTCCACTCACTCAGAATCGGTCCGTTTTGACGTTGGCTACACTCAAGTTGCTTTTTCCTTTTTTTACTGTCCATAAAAGAGAAGGCTTCTTAAACAAATGAGTAGGTTGAGGAGAGCGGCTACTGCCATGACTGAACCACAGATGCGCAGGGGTGCAGAGCTGCTGTTGGGAGCGGCGGGCCAGGGCCCGGAGCGGGACAGACGCAGGCAGTGCTGGGAGCTTTGCTGCCAGCGGGGCCTCCAAGGGGCTCCTCCCTAAGCCCCGATCAGCTTCTCTCAGGACATGCAGGGGAAGTGCACTGCGGCAAGTTTCACCCAATGGATCTCCCTTAGCATCTGCAGGATTCGACCGACGGATATTGTTGTGGAGCGTTTCTGTGGTGATTGTGGTAAGTATGCAACATGGAAGGCCGCCGTGGAGCAGTGAGGGACCTGCGTTATAACACAGGTGGCAGTCTGCGCTTCTCAGCATCCACGGATAAAATGGTGGCCGGGGGGCACAGTGAAACAGGTGAGAGGGTTCAAAGGCTGAAGGGACACAGTTCCTTTGTGAATTCCTGTTATCCGGCCAGGAGACAACCTCCCTCCCCCCCAACCTCCCGGCCTGTCTCCACTGGCAATGACGATGGTCCAGTTAAGCTCGGAGACATCCGGAAGGAAGCAGCCACGCAGACATTTCAGACTATCTACCAGGTGCTAGCTGCGGCCTTCAGTGGCACCAGCGATTCCGTTATTTCTGGTGGAACAGACAACGATAGCCAGGTCTGGGCCTGCGTCAAAACCCGCTGCCCTGGACCCTGAGAGGCTGTACGGATCCGGCGACCGGCCTGAGCTTCCGTTCTGAAGGCTCTGACCTTCTGTCCAATGCAACGGACAGCACAGGGAGGGCCTGGGATGC